ACCGCTAAGCCTCTGAGCCATGTACCGATCATCATTGTGGATGCAAGCCTGTCAGGCTGTTGAGGAGTCTTGGACACCCTATCAGTGCAGGGGACCACATTTCCTGGTCATTATCTGAAAGCTTCAGGAAATTTGGTTTTCCCCTCAGTGCTGGACATCACAGCTAAAAGTTAATTCGATAAGGATTCAGTTGGACAACATCATGGCAGTAGTTAGGGATGCACCAATACTGGTTTTTCGATATCAAGTACGAGTACCAATATTTTGCTTTCGGTACTCACCGATGCAGAGCACTGATACCGGTGTTTCCGCTGGCATGGAGTACTCATGCTCACCCAAATACTCGGTAACGGCACTGATATCAGTATCAGTGCATCCCTAGCAGTAGTGTACATCAACCTTCAGGGAGGCACCAGTAGTCTCAGTAGAAAGGATTTTGTCTTGGCCAGCACGTTTAGCCTTGGGTTTACTTCCCAAAGGTTGACAATGGACAGGCAAATGTTCTCTGCTATCAGGGCCTGAATTCAGGGCACTGGACCCTATACCTGGAGATGTTCCAGGACCTTTGTTGCAGGTGGGGGACACCAAACATGGACCTTCTGATCTCTGGATTCCACAAATACATTGTACAGATTTGTCTCCAGGTACAGGATCCTCTGTTGGAGCAGTGAATGCTCTGGTAGTTCTGCCGGATAAATACAACCTAATCTACGCCTTACTTCCTCTGCACCCCTTTTCTCATCTGCTTCGTAGGATAGAAATGGAGGGCATTTTCGCGATTCTCATAGATCCAGATTGACCCAGGTGGCTGTGGTACTCAGACCTGCCAGACTACTGGTGGATGCTCCATGGCCTTTCCCAGGCAGTCTAGATCTGCAGACTCTTGGACGAGTTTAACATCCTGCTTCATGGTCTCTGACATTAACATCATGGTTGGTAAAGTCCTGGTCCTGGGGGAAAAAGGTATTAGAATCTGTGATTCTTGCACTGCAAACTAGAGAAATCTAAAGCGAGTTCTGCCCTGGACATAGACGGAATATTTTGCCTTTTACACGGAAAGAAACTATCATAGCCAGCTAAGTATCTTAGCTTTGTTAGTGTGTTGTAACATTTTCATAACATCTTGCAGTTGTGGGCGGTTTAGTTCTTACATCAAGTACTTAGACCAGGTTTTAAAAAGCTGTCTTGTTTTGTGGGTAGAGGCGTACAGCTTATCTAAGTAGATTAGTTTGTATAAAAGGGGTTCAATCCTAGGTCGCTGGGGAGAAAGCTACAGTACCTAAGAATACAGATCTTGATTACTAAAATGCATATGTATTCCCAACTACTTACTCTAGGAGCATCAGCAGCAGGGGCGGACTGGGCCGGGGGGCAGGGTGGCAATTGCCCCCTGGGCTAAAAGTTGCCAGTCAGCCCCTGATCAGCAGTGTGATCTGGTGGCAGAGTATGGAAAAATCAAACAAACATAACAAACATATATTGAAGGCCCAAAAAGTGCAATAGGATAGCTTAATTTGGATCTCCCCCCATATATCCCCCGCTGTGGCTTTCAAAACCAAGGCCCAACCCCGTTGGAGCATCTCTGTGGTCTATGTAATGGACAGACACAAAAAGTCTGCTCATTTGTTAATCAGTGGAGAGGCCAAAGAAAATCCCTATTCCACCTCATTCTCATGTCTTGATAGAGTTGAGAGTGAGTATTTATGGAGATAAGGACAAGGGAAATCCTAACATGGTGTTGTAACATCTAGGAGGTGTCTAGGTGTGTGGGGGATACCCGGCAGTGACAAAGGAGCAACAACCTGAGATTCCAATTGGAGGTTAGCATAGTAGGAGGTGTTTCCCAACCAGTCCCGCACAAGACACCATAAACTAGCTAAATTGTATTAATGAACATTAGGGATATTGGTCCCCAGTACAGCCCTTGGCAGTTTAAGAGTTCATAGAGCTATACGTGACTTCCTCCCCATCCAAGTGCCAAGTGCTTGGAATGAAGGTTCCAAGGGCTGGAAATCTTTATGGTTCAATAACAGTGCTGAGTTCTGAAACAGGTAGATTAAATTAGCAACGCTTTATAAGATAACATCTACCTGAAAGTGACAAGGGGAGGTTCTGCCATCTTGACCGCCTCTGGATAATTTTATGTTTAACAGGTATATTATTGAGACGGTAGAGATCCAGGGAGCACTGAGGGATGTTAATACCCAAATAAACAATAAAATAACTTTTGACCCTGAAGTAACAGGTCCCCGTGTATTGCACATCAGTGACAGGTGGATTTTTATCCAGAAACATGAGCTCACTTTTGTCATAGTTTATGGACAACCTAGAAAAGGAGGCCAAGATCTCGAGGTGTTGAATGATCGCAAGAACCTGGACTCAAGGATCAGATATAAAGAGGATTATATTTTCTGCGAACAAGCCAGATTTTAATTCCACAGATCTCTGGATTCCTCGATAAAGGGAGGGAGACCTAAAGGAACAAACCAAAGGTTCAGTGGATAGGTTGATGAATAAAGGGGACAAGTGACACCCATTTTGGGTGCCCTTCTGTAGTGGAAAGAGGGCAGATGATGAATTACACCAAAAAATGTAAGACATGGGTGACATTTACATCAGTTTTAAAAAATCTAGGAACGGTCCCACAAAACTTTTGTGTAGCATAATTCTTTGTAACCATAGCTAATTAACATCAACTGATTTCTCCATGTGCAGCTCCAAAAGGGTAATGAACAACCGAGAAAGAACATTAAGCCTCTGATGCTCTAAAGCAGTCATTACTTTTCTAATGTTAGATACTGCTGATCGACCAGAAACAAATCCCACTTGGTCATTTGAAATAAGTTTAGGAAGCAAGTCATAATTTTAGACAGAAGTTTAACATCCAGATTTAACAATTAAATAGAGCGGTATGAACCCCGGTTTAGGGGGTCTCTACCCTTTTTGTAGCTAATTCAGATACTGCATAACACTGCGTTATCTGTGAATGGGTATTTCAGTTGTCTTAAAACATGATTATACGTGTTCACTAATGATTCACTAAAGTCTGTTGATAAAGGTTTGTAGAATTTGGCAGAAAATCCATCTGGGCGTGGAGCCTTCCCCAAGCAGTTCCTCGGATACAATATCAGCATTGAGTTGCCTCCACATCAGCGAAAGATAAAGAAAAGAATGCAGTTGAACAGTTTTCAGGAAGGCATCACCACCCCGATGAATATAAAGAAATTCTGCGCTATGGAATCTGTCTCAAAGTAATAAATATCAAATATAAAAGATGAAAAGCTACCGTGCTAATTATATAAATAAATTGGATCAAAGAGCTGCAGAGATAATAATCATAATACGTGAATAATAAAGTGCTAGATATCAAATAAATCACATATAACCAATATAGTTAATAAATACTCATAAATAATAGAACGTGTCTCTCACTGGCTTGTTCGTGACGGATTGAAATATTTTATGAAAAAGCAATTGTTTCTGGGAATCTTCTAAGTGTTTTTAAACCAAAAACCTATTTTGGCATATTACTATAGGGGAAATTTATCAAAACTGGAGCAGACAGAATCTGGAGCAGTTGCCCATGGCAACCAATCAGCGTCTCTCTTCAGTTTGCTCAGGTAAGATTTGAAAATGAGACAGAGAAGCTGATTGGATGCAGTGCAAATCTGCTCCAGTTTTTGTCTGCTCCAGTCTTGATAAATTCCCCCCTATGTGTTTATTATCCTCTCTGGGGATCGGATACGTTTTGTAAACAACCTCACCTGAACCAAAAGCTTTCATTAGAGTGGAGGAAATGTGTGTGTTCTATGTGTGTGTGTGTATCCAAAAACATATTAGAATTATAACAATTTTTAATCTCGTATGAAACTACACATAAATATACATACATATAAAAATATACACACATTAAAAAAAAAAAAAAAGCTATCAACCCCATCATATTGCTTTATTGGCAATATGGGAAACCCAGCAGGTTAGGCAAAAGGTATACCTTCATTCAACAATGTACATTGGTTATAATGGCTCTGCAAGCCATTTGCCTAACCTGCTGCAGATCGAAATCAGGCTTGCAGAGCCGTTATAACCATTGGGATTGCCAATATAGCTACTGTATATGATGGGGTTGATAGCTTCTTCTTTTTTTTTTTTTTAAACCAGTTGACATCCGCGGTGTTAAACCACCTTCCCATCCAGGCCATTTTTCAGTATTCAGCGCTGCGGTACTTTGACTGACATTTATTCCGTCATGCAGTGTGTGTGTGTGTAAAAAAAAGTGTGTGTTTTTAGCCCCAACGTTTGGTGGCAAGATCAGCAGAGGCATCCTTGTGGAAAGGATATACTTCAAAACATCTTCCTCAAATAAGTTCGTGTTTATTGATCATAAAATTAACATAAAAAACTGCCAGCACATTTTACGGCACTGCAGTTGCCACTTCTTTAGAAAAGCTGCGTGGAACACTAAGTAAAGAATACATATAAAGTTGAAACAGATGTAATAGAGGTAATTAAATGAAATGTGATTGAGGCAAGCTCTTAACAGCACTAAACTAATCAAACTACAGCTCTTCTCTTTGCTTTTGCGAAGGTGGGTCAAGAACTATGATAGGGTGTGATCCATATTTCCATCACCGTCTTTGTTTTAAGGAGGGACTTGTGTTGCTGTTTTATTCCAGCCTTATGTTTCCTTGATAAACCGATATTTCCACTATGCCATGGCTCTGTAATTTGTACCTTATTTATATAATATATAAATGTTTACTGGAAAAACTTTACTGTAGAATAAGCTTCTGGTGTATGGATCAGTATATTGAATTATAATATGTGCATTATTGTCCTTATAATGATAAATATATTCCTACACAGGCTCTTTTTCTATCATGTGTACAGGAAACAAGGATAGATTACAGTTGATATTTTTTTTTCACAGATCTACACAGAAATATCACAACTGTAATAAGAGAACTTATTATTGATTGTAACTGTTTATTTTTTGACAGGCTCTAACTGCTTCAGATTTGAATCTAATTCTGTATGTTTGTGAAACAGTGGATTCCCAACAAGTGTTTGGACAACACCCGTGTCCACTTACTCAGCCTGTCCTGCTATCTCTCATCCAGCAGTTGTCTTTTGATCTTGGCACCCGTACTGAGCTCAAACTGAAGTATGTTAAAGCTAAGTATTTGTTTTAACTGCATCTTTGCATGTGAGAAAATTTTAGTAAACTTTGTAACTGTGTCCCAAAATATTGTATATTCATACAATTGCAACACTTATTTGAGATATAAGACAGAGGTTTGCTCAGTTTGTAATAAACTCCTCCCAGGGGAATGTTACATCTGTGGTGTGCTCACATTTTTGTTTTTAATATAGGAAAATAAACGAACCCTGGCTTTCAACCCTAAGAAAAAAATGCTGCTCAAACTCATACATTTTGTTGAGCCAAAGGAAATCTCGCCGCTCCAATTCCTTAGTCACCATCAGGACTCCCCAGGTGCTGGTCTAATAGGTTCGTCTCCACCTTGGAATGCAGCAGTATACGAACAGACCGCACTATCCAGAGAATTCCAATACTGCAGACTTTATTGAAATTCACAGCAAATCCAGTATATCAGTGAATAAAAGTGTATAAAGCAACAAAAGCCAGCACTGCACACCCCCAACCAACTACAACCTCTCACATGTTTCACCCGCAGGCTTATTCATCTCCTCCTATTCTTCTCTCTTCTCTTCCTGTTCTCCTTTCCTTCGCTTCCCTACTTCCTCTCCTCTTTTCACCACCGCTTTCTCTTCTCTCCTTCTTTTCTCCCTGCTCCTCCTTCTCTTTTTCTTTTTCCTACTGATTTTCTGTACTTCTGGGGGTTGCGCTCCCTATAATACCTGTTTTTATTAATCCTGATTTGTGAATCAGCATCCCTCCCCCACTCTGTCCCATTTATTCTCCTTACATTTGTGTCCTAATGAGGGGGCTGTGTTCTGCTGCTTGAAGGAGCCTCCTTCAGGGACTCCTGGTAGTTGCGTGCTTATTTATGTGTATTTTTTAGTGGCCTCGTGCCCAGCATTTGTATTCTTGAACACTTTTGTACTTACTGTTTCTTATATTGTTTTTCTACTTTACTATATTTGTTGTATTTTGTAAACTAAAAAAAAAACGGATTGGACTAAAAATTTAAAGGGCCGGTATCAGCCTTTAGTATCAGGGTATTTTCACAAGTACAAAATAGTCCATAAGTAGCCCTGATTGCTCAGAAATCTTCTCACTCATTTGGTATCAATATTTGAAGAAATTTGCAGTTCTATAGCTGTGCCAACAAAGTTTACGTGTATGTCTGAACAATTGTTTTTTACGGGGCTTTGAATGGTAATGAAATGTCTAAAGCTGTTTATGAAGCTAAAAGCTAGTGTCTATAGACTCAATTACTTCATTGGGGGAAATTCCTATCAGGAATTCCTGTGTCAGGAACTTGCTATTTATGAGCTGTCACCTATTCAAGTTAATGATCAAGTGACAGCGGCCGCATATGAAAATGGCAGAACACTGGCACTCCATATCCACTATCTTTGGATGCATGATTGATGCATCCAGGGATAGTGATTGATTCCTAACTGCATGTAATCATATTGCATACAATTACATACTGAGCGCCAGCACTGTCATACTGTCACCCGATCATTAACATGAATGAGCAACAGCTGCTGCATGTAAACGGCAGGTTAGGGATTCCTGCTGCAGGAAATAGCAAGTTCCAGATGCAGGAATTTCTAAATGCACCTAAAATATAACTCTGCATGATGCTGTAACTTGTAGTACCATCACTGTTCGGACCTCGATATCTGCATTGCTGTGTAATATATTGCTGGGATTTGTAATCCTCTATAGTTGGCGGTATTCTGCATTTCTTTATCGTGTGTAATACTGAGATTTGTAGTCCTCTATAGCCAATCATATTCTGCATTGCTGTATAATGTATTGCTGGGATCTGTAGTCCTCTATAGTTGGCGGTATTCTGCATTAGTGTATAATGTATTGCTAGGATTTGTAGACCCTCTACAGCTTGGTGGTTTTCTGCATTGCTGTATAAAGTATTGCTGGGATTGGCAGTTTTCTATAGCCAATTGTATTCTGCATTGCTGTATCATGTATTGCTGAGATCTGTAGTTCTCTATAGCTGGTGGTAGTCTGCATTGCTATATAATGTATTGCTGAGATTTGTAGACCCTCTACAGCTTGGCATCAGTGGCAGAATTACCAGGGTTGCAGCTGCAAACGGGCCCTGGCGCTACAGAGCACTGAACTATGGTTTGGTTGGAGGGGCGCTAATGAAAGATTTGCCCCTGGGCATCTTGTGACCTTGCTACGCCTCTGTCATGATGTCATCAATGTAGTAAAACATAGTGACTTTCAAATTCAGGGTGCTCAAATCTCGGGCAATCGGTCCATGACAAATATTTGGTGAATTAAGGTATCCTTGAGAAAGCACAGGGAAAGTGTACCTGGTCTTGACACTCTGGGTCTATTGGGATTGAAAAGAAAGCATTAGCTAAGTCTATCACAGCATGAGATTCTCCTGCCTCTTTTTCTTTTTTCTCAGTGATCATATCAGGTACAGCTGGTTTCAATGGAGGTGCCACTCTGTTTAGACCTCTGTAATCCACAGTCATTCGATAAGTCCCATACGGCTTCTTTACTGGAAACACAGGAGCTGAGAAAGGACTTACAGCAGGTCTAAGGATCCCTACTCTCAACAGTTCTTGAATAGTCTCCCCAATTTCTTTGTGGCCTCCTGGCAGCCTGTACTGCTTAAAACAGATTGGCTTCTCTGGTGGAGTAATGTAGACAGGGGTCTATTTTGCATGACCTCTGACCGCAGCCTTTACCTCTCACCAGATACGCTTTCTGTGGATACCCGAAAATGAATGTACCCCGTTCAGTCTGGATTGACTGACCTTGAAGCAGTGGCGGATCCAGGGGGGTCAACGGGGCAATTGCCGTTGCCGGTCCCAAGATCCGCTGTGCCCGATGCGGCCGGGACCGCCACGGCTCTGTGACAGGAGATCAAAGGGAGTTCAGTATACGGTCTCCCTTTTGATCTCCTCTCAGTCCCCGAATGCAGGAAGTGATGTATATTACATCACTTCCTGCATTCAGTGTCACTCTCCAGCGACAGAAGCTGATGAAGCACATCTCTGCTTCATCAGCTTCTCTGGGGGTTCCTAGGTGACATTAGGGGTCTTGGAGACCCTGATGTCTCCATAAAGAGGACCTGTCATGTAAATTGGCTATCACATGGGGGGCTTCTTAGCCCCCCATGTAATAGCAATAAAGTTGTGTGTAAAAAAAAAAGTAATACAAAAATGAAAGAATCATAAAAAAAATAAAGCATAAAAAAAATTAAAAAAGAAAACAATTTTTGTTAAGTCCCCGCTCCCCACATACACACGCAGATATGCGTCGGGTGCGCCTACGTGCGAAAACGACGATTGCACCTATTGTGCCGCACATGTTACATATCGCCGCAAACGGAGTGAGCAATAATTTTAGGGCCATTAATCACTGATAACACTAAACTGATGAGCAGTAAAAGCATTTTAAGCGTCGCCTATGGGCGTTTTTTGCGATTTTGCGGGAGCACGCAATTTTAAGGCTTGAGATGTTTGGTGTCTATTTACCCGACGTGATCGCGACTTTTATGTTTTACCAAAAATATGGGTAAGAATAAATGTTTTATAGCAGAACATAGGGAAACTTTGTTTTGTTTTTTAATTATATAGTAAAAAAAAAAAACCTCCCCCCCCCCTCGTGGTGATTAAAACGTTAACATAAATTGCACGGCTAAAGCGCGGTCATGCTGACTGGTGACATTTTTGACTGATGAGACACCCACCCGGAGAGGAATAAGAGGGCATGAGGACAGAGCACATCACCACTGTAAGTCACTTTTCTTACACCGGTGACCTCCGTACTGCGTCACATTACTGACATCAGCATTGCGTCACATTACTGACCTCCGCACTGCGTTACATTACTGACTTCAGCACTCTGCGTTTATTATCGCTCCCTCCCTCCGCCCCCCTGCTGGGCCTGGCCGGCCGCACCGAACGATCGGGACCCAAAGCAGAGGCTGCACTGTAGTGAGGCAAATTAGAGGGCCATCTCGGCCCACGCAGGGGCTTTGCAGCTGCCTAATTTGTGTGAGTACAGACCACCCAAGGCTGGTAGCTGCGGAAATATCCCAGAAGGAAGGGCCAGGTGAGTGCGTTGTACCCCTGGCGGAGAGCCAGGGGGGCAGTGGACACATAGGCAGTGACAGAGGAAAGGGGTGGCACAGTAGCAGTGGAAGAGCCAGATGGGGGGCTTATTTTCTGGCAGTGCCCCCCGAGACTAGACTCTGGATCCGCCCCTGCCTTGAAGTACATCCATATCACGAATAGTTAAAGGAAAAGCAAAATAAAACATACATAGGGGGTGTGTCCTAACTATGGCCAAGTGAAGACGTGTGCTACAGGAGCTCTGTGCCACTTGGGCGTTGGTGACAGACTTGGCGTTTTCAACCTACCTCAGTTTGCATGCCTGCAGAGATGGGTCCACAGGGGCTGGCGGGTGAGCACCGACAAGCGGATCTCCGCAGATTTTACCCGCTGGAGACTCAATCGCGGGCATCAGCCCACTTGTCCAACATGGAGCCTTCACGCTCTGGGATGCCAGGGCCTACTCCGAGTAAGAAGCTGTGTGATGCCCCTACACAGCATGAGATCCTGCCCGAACCTGATGTTAGCCCACCAAGTTCCCCGATCTCCACCCCAGCCCTCCCATTGGCGGATTCCCCACCTGGCTCCTGGCATGGAGCGTAGGCTTTGGGGATGTCCCAGACAGGGGAATGGGATTGGCGGGCCTACCTACCTTACCTTTCTACCAAGCAGGACCTAATCCTTATGGCGACGAGGATCGCGATGGCGCTTCGTCAGGAGTTCCATGAGATTAAGGCTCAGGTGTCGGTGCTCGATGACGGGCATGGAGGCCTCCACAGCCTCGCTGACTGAGAGACTGGGTGCCATGGAAGCGGCCCAAAGTATGACGACCCGCCAACTTATTTCCATGCAACTTAAAATTGACAATGGAGAGAATAGTAATAGACACAACAACCTTCGCCTTAAAGGCATTCC